CTAACAGACACGACGTCTGTTAGAGGTTCGAAGGACTTTCTCGACCTTGGTGTAGACACACCAAAGGCTACATACATTTACGACCACCACGATGGGTGGTCCATAGAGACTTAGGATTCCTATTGGCTGAGAGCAGCATCTCTTAGCCAATGAGCGACATGCATAGCATTGGAATTCTGCCAACCAGCCGTTGGCAGATTCCTATCTTAGAATATTACATTTAGAGGAAGTCAGAAACATAAAACAAAAATAGCAGTTCTCATTTTAACCCAAAACATTATTTGGATCGTTTATTTAGATTATCTATACTCGGAGGCCCGAGTATAATTAACTCTAAGTTAAACTAAGCTACGCTTCCTCACATACACGCGCACACGTGTAAGCTAAAGTAGTGAGCCAAAGTAGGCCCACTACACCTGGTAGCACTTAGTAGTCCGTCCAACGACCGACTACCTGAGTTCGTACGTCATCGCACGAACGCGGAGCTGAGAACCTTCCCATGGATACAGAGGTGCCCATGGAAAGCTCCACTACGCCTGCAACTCACGTTGCACGCGCTGACTGTCCCCACCTGCCGGACCCAGAGTGGGAAGCTCTCCAACGACTGTCAACAGTCATTGGTGAGGCGGCTGTAGCTACGATGCTGCGAACGCTAACGCCGACAGAGCAACATGGTGTTGCTCTGGGATTTATCATGAGGGAGCAGCGAGATGCTGCTTCATCTACCACGGTGTCGTCGGGGACGACACCGCGCGCGCAATCGCTGAAGCTCAGGGTGAGCAATTACGTTGGAAGAGAGGGCGAGCCTCTCCTCCGTTGGCTTGTCGAACTCGACACTGCCATTGCGGCTCGACGCATCGTCGACCCGTTGTCGAAGGTCGCGTTCGCCATGTCATGTCTTGGCGGACGTGCAAGAAGTTGGGCGTATGGACGCCGACTCTCGGATCCTACGTGCTTTAGCACGTACGAGGATTTCAAGGAAGAGCTCAGACAAGCGTTTGAGCCACCGCAAAACGAGTTCCGGTCGAGGGCGGAGTTCCTCGACCTGCAGCAGGGCAAGCACGATGTCCATGCTTACGCTCAGAGAGCACGGTACTTGGTCTCGAACATCGTGACCAATCCGATCGACGAGGCGACCAAGGTCGTCACGTTCATGAAGGGACTGAGAGATGGGCCTGTGAAGACCTATCTCTTCCGTGAGTACCCGAGTACTCTCGAAGCTGCAATTACTCTTGCAATGCAGGAGGAGTTTAGCCTGCGGCAGGCTAAGCTGCATGCACATGTGCCGAGGCCACAGCCTCGCCCGGTAGTGAGGACGGGAGGCCCAGAACCCACGGACCTCTCGTGTGCTGCAACTGCTGGACCCCAGCAGTCGCAGGGAAACAATGTGCGATGCTACCGTTGCGGTAGAGTCGGTCACTTTGCTCGGGAGTGCACGGCCCCCGTGCACCAGCAGGGTGGCTATCGCGGCGGTGCCGGGCACCGTCGCAGCCAAACAAAAAACGCTGGACGCCAGTAGGCGCGGGGCGCCCTACTGGTAATGCAGTTCCGCGTGTCGACCTTGGACACGCGACACTGAGGACTGCAGCCCCCAGTGAGGTTCATCCTCACTGCAAGAACCAAGATGACAAGCCTGACCTTGTCATCCTGAATGTGAACTCGATGAGAGCAAGCGGCTCTCTCCGTGCTTTGGTAGATTCTGGCGCGTCGAAGAACTTTGTTTGACTGCGAAGTCTATCAAGGCTTGACTTCGAGGATTTAAAGATACCTCGAAGTATGTTGGAAGTACGACTGGCAACGGGTGCCGTCGTGAAGACCGAGAAGCGCATGGTACGCGTGCGCTTCACGTATGAAGATCAAGAGTTTGTCGAGACCTTTATCGTCCTGGATCTGGACGATAAGTTTGACATTGTATTGGGCATGCCGTGGCTTGCACGGCATGATCCGGTCATCGATTGGGAGAAGCGCACCCTCGTGCGCTTCAGTCGCGACAGCGGAAAAGTGAGCGATGGCCCTGTTGCCGCTACGCACGCCCCGACAGGTGCGCGTGACTCCCCATTCGAGACAGCGCCTAATGCCTCTGCCCCGGAGCGCCCTGGGCGCGCGCGAGCACGCGCGCAAGAGCAGCTAGCGTCGGCGTTGCCGTCGACAACTAATGAAGGAAATGTGTTGACCTCGGAGGTCGACACCCGCTTTTCAGCGAATCAGGAAGAGTCTCCGGCCTCAAGGGGCACGGATGACGCAGGCGAGGCACACGCCCCAGCCGTGGAGGCTGACGCGAATCTGATGAGATCAGGTCTGGCCAATAATAAGAGCCAAGGTGACGTAACGCCGTCGACTCCGGGAGTCGATAGCTTGGGCGAATTTGATTCGTCGGCTCGGGGAGCCGACGCACCCTCCGTAATGGAGGGCTCCGCCAATAACAGGCGTCGAGGTGAAGATGGCGTGTCGGCTCCGGGAGCCGACGCTGCAGGCGGTGCGGACGGTTGCAAACGTTCCGCACCGGAAAAACTTGCATGCTGTCGTGCAGCCGGGCTGCACGACGAAGCGCCGGGCGACCAAGCCGGGCTTGAAGTCGCTCGCCCGCGGGACGAACCCGCCGGCGGTACTGAAGAAGAACACCCGTCCACGGCTGGGCCTGGACGAGGTCAAGAACCAAGCGGAGCCGGGCTCCGCAAAACAAGAAGACGGCGCATGCGAAGATCGCTGCGCAAGTCTCGGCCTGAGGCCGAGACGCTACAAGGAATGTATGCCGGGCAGACGGAGGCTGAGAAGCCGGACGTCGAGACGTTGAACGTCTTGACGCGTACCTGTACCGGGTTCCGGTACAGGGAGATGACTCTCGCTAACCCTCCGACGCAAGCGTCGGAGTTGACTTCGCTTCCAGTCATGAGCAGGAAGCGCTTCGCGCGTGACTTGCACGATGGACGCATCGAGCAAATATGCATTCTCTCGGACGCCGCTCCGACGTTCTGTGTCAAGAAGCCACAGGGTGGCTGGCGCATCGTTCATGCGTACAACAAGCTGAACGATGCGACGATACCGGCACAGACACCGATACCGCGAAAAGATGTAATCATCGATTCGATGGCCAGGAGCACTATCTACAGTGCTCTTGATCTGCGCGATGGTTTCTATCAGATTCTCATGCGTGAGAGCGATATCCCTCTCACGGCTGTGAGCACGCCGAGCGGCATGCTCTGGGAGTGGCTAGTGATGCCGCAGGGTCTGAAGAACGCCCCTGCGACCTTCAACAGGTGCGTGACGCACTTGTTGCGCTCGGTGGGCGACTTCGCACCGAGCTACTTCGACGATGTGTTCGTCCACAGCCGGGCTGCGGACGGGATGAGCGATGTTGAGATGCACAAGGTACATCTCCGGAAGCTGCTTGCGCTCATGCGCAAGCACAAGCTCTATGCGAACCTGAAGAAGTGCATCTTCGGGGTGAGCGGGATACCCGTGCTCGGGTGTCTCGTTGGGAAGAACGGTGTCCGCCCTGACCCGGAGAAGGTCAGAGTGATCAATGAGTGGCCGACGCCGTCGAACGTCAAGGAACTGCGGCAGTTCCTTGGCTTGGCCACGTACTTGTGTAAGTACGTGAAGGACTACGCGGACATGATACGCCCGCTGTCACAGCTCCTGAAGAAGGACGCCGAGTGGGTTTGGACTGCTGAGTGTCAGCAGGCCTTCGATGCAGTCAAGCGGAGCTTGACTGAGGCGCCGATCTTGGCGGTGGCCGACCAAGATCGCCCATTCCACGTTGTGTGGGACGCATCCGACTTCGCAATCGGATGTGCGTTGATGCAGCACGATCACGAGGGTCGTGATCGTGTCGTCTACTACCAATCGCGTCAGCTGAAGCCAGCTGAGCGCAACTACCCGGTACATGACAAGAAGCTCCTTGCCATGAAGTACGCACTCGCGAAGTTCCGAGTGTATCTACTCGGAAGCAAACCGTTCGTGGTCTATACGGACCACGCGTCGTTACGGACGGCTGTGAAGTCGCCGCACATCTCGCAACGGATGGCGAGATGGCTCTCATTCTTCGCAGAGTATAACTTCCGGGTTGAGTACAAACCCGGAAGACTCAATGTGGTGGCCGACGCGCTCTCGCGTCGACCTGACTACGCCACGACTGATGCCGACGTCAATGCCATTGACGCCATGCGATCGAGCACCCCGACGTTGTCACTGCTGGACGACGTGAAGGTCGCGTACGCGCACGACGCGGACGCGAAGCTCTTGCTGGCCTACGGCTCAGCGCCTTCTGACCAAGCTCGTCAGAAGCTGCTGAAGCATCTTCGTGCTCGTGCACACCGTTACCGGGTGCACGACGGGTTATTACTCTACAGTGCAGTCGACGAAAACGCGGACCGCGTTGTCGTGCCCAATGACCATGACCTGCGACTCAGGATCATGTATGAGTATCACGATGCACCGACTGCGGGGCATCCGGGCCGTGAGAAGACATACCTTCTTCTCACGCGAGACTTCTACTGGGCCCACCAGTATAAATGGGTGCGCCAGTACGTCCGTGCTTGCGAGGTTTGTCAACGTGTGAAGCCTGCGCCTTTCGCGCAGGCTCCCTTGCAGTCACTACCAACTCCACGGGAGTGTTGGCAGTCCATGTCTTTGGACTTCGTGTTCGGTCTTCCCCCGGACAGCCAGGGGAACACGGGCGTTGTGGTCTTTGTTGACCGCTTCAGCAAGATGGTCCATCTTGCTGCAGTACCCGCTGAAGTGACTGCGAAACAGACGGCGCGTCTGTTCGTTGACATGGTGTTCAAACACCATGGCATGCCGATCGACATTGTGTCGGATCAGGACCCGCGCTTCACTGCACAACTTTGGCAAGAAGTGCACTTCTTGGGAGTCAACTTTCGATGTCGACCGCGGACCATCCGCAGACGGACGGGCAGACCGAGCGCGTGAACCGCGTGCTCGTAGACGTGCTTAAGAGCTACGCTCACTCGTTCCAACACTGGAGCGAATGCCTGCCGATGGCGGAGTTCGCCATCAACAACTCGGTGCATGCCTCGACCGGGCATACACCGTTCTACGTGAATGCCATCAGGCACCCACGCCTCCCGAGTCTACTCGGGATGGTGGCTCCTTCCTTAAGTGGGGGAGGATCTACGACTGCAACGCAGCAGCCGCAGAATGCCGCTGACACTTGCACAGTGTCAGCCGCGACTACGCGCAAGAAGAAGAAGAAGCACGCGTCTGTGCAGAACACAGACGCCGACAAGAGCAAGAAGAAGAAGAAGATCGGGTCTGTGCAGGGCACAGACACCGCGAAGACGAACGCAGAGGCCGGGCCTACTGCTAGAAACGAGCTGAACTCGTTCAGCTCGGACGCAATCAACTTCGTGCAGCGCAGACAAGCCGTCATTCGGTTTGTCCAAGACGCTATTGCAGCTTCTGTCGACCGACAGAAGCTTAACGCAGACAATGTTGGTAGGGGCAACACTAATGGTTTCAAGAAGGGTTCATTGGTTTTGTTAGCAACTCAAAACCTGCCTAAACATGCCGTTTCCGATTTCGGGGCGAGCAAGCTCGGTCCGCGCTTCATCGGACCGTTCACGGTGTTGGCGCGGCATGGAAACGCCTACACGCTAGATATTCCATCTAGCATGCGCCTCCATCCGACCTTTTACGTCGGGCGGCTGAAGCCATACCGGCAGCACGAGCCACCTAGCTCGGCTGGCCCGAAGCGGAAGCCCCAGCGGGAGCGAACCTCTGCTCCAACGCGTGAACGCGCTGGACCAAGCGTGCGACGCGACCTCCCACGTCGACAGAGATGTCCGACGCGGTCTGCGAGGCCTGAGCGACTTGAGCCCTCAGGATCGCCACCTCCTGCTTCAGAGCGGCGAACTCCCGGCTCTGATGCTGTTCCACAGCAGCGACCCGCTCCTCGAGCGTCGGGCCAAGGTCAACCCCAGGTAGACCATACCCGGGGCGTGTTCCCACCACCGCTGCCTCCGATCCACGACGCCCGCGGCTCAACACGCTGGATTGTTGAGCGTATTGTGAACCATAGTATACCGAAAACGAGCCGGCAGCCGGTTCGTTATCGTATTCGTTGGAGAGGGTTTCCGCCCCACAAAGATACATGGGAGCCACGGGACGTCCTGCTGCAGGACGTTCCGGAAATGGTGAGGGAGTACGAAGCTCACCACGCACTGCCGACGCGAAGGTAGTGCGAGCGTGTGGTCACCTACAGCGCCCGAGGTCCCACGATCGTCGCGTTCCTCACGTGCCAAGAACTTGGCACGGAGATCCTTGAGACTCGCAGGTACACGAATCGTCGTATACCCGTTAAGGTCGCGGTCGCTCAAGCGCGCCGCACCCGGAAGACACAACGTGCACTGTTGGCCTTCGGGCACAGCGCATGAAATACCAGCGTCCACAGAAGATCTGTGGAGCTGCTCCAACCTCCCGCGCGTCGAGAATGTCTCGAAGCGTTCACGGGCGTGCTTAACCCGCTCACGGTAAGCAGCCGGCTTCTTGTTGAAGTTCTCAACAAAAGCATTCCAACTTTGACAAAGTGCCTGCCACTCAGGCACTTTGCTGCGAGAAGAGGTCTTCTTGCTGGAGAAGTATCGGAGCTCGTGAAAGAGTCCGATTTAGTAATCGCGCCTTTGATTCGTTAACGGATCAAAGTGCTGCTCCTCCGCCACAGCATCATCGTGGATCCCGCTGCATACGTACAGCGGAATTTCATTTGGAGGCATGGTGTTGCCCACACGGTCTGCGATCTCTGACGCAGACGGCATCCACGGATCGCGCGCTGCCTGAGCAGCGCGCGGAGAACTTGAAGACGCCACCTCACGCGGGGAGCTTAAAGCCCCAGCAGCAGAGAGCGGAGTGTCGCTCTCGCCGCGCGAACGCTTCGAGCTTGAAGCGTCCGAATCGTCCGAATCGTCTCCTTCACGAGGGCGTCTCGACCCGGCATGCGGGTCGAGACTATCGCTGTCGATAGACTCCTTGCACTTGCTAGAAGAGGCTTCGCCCTCTTCCATCTCCACGTCGCCGTCCTCGTCGTCAACGGCGTCGTTGACTACAGAGGAACCTTCGAGGACAATCTCCGGCTGGGTTGTCCCCGACGCGGCCTTTGCAGCGAGCGCGTCGCGCTTTGCCTGCTGGCACTCATGGTACTGAGCAACAGAGAGGCTACCCTCTGTTGCGGCGGCTGTCTTCTTCTGCGGCGAGCTCATTGCGGAATGAGCTCGAGTTTTCTTTCTCCCAACGTGAAGAATTGACGAATGGTCAATTTCCTGATTGACGTGCTGTGACTCGGCGCGTCTAACCTTGAGGGGGGATGGTGTAACAGGGTTACACGCACAAGTGGCTACAGTCACTTGTAACTCTAACAGACACGACGTCTGTTAGAGGTTCGAAGGACTTTCTCGACCTTGGTGTAGACACACCAAAGGCTACATACATTTACGACCACCACGATGGGTGGTCCATAGAGACTTAGGATTCCTATTGGCTGAGAGCAGCATCTCTTAGCCAATGAGCGACATGCATAGCATTGGAATTCTGCCAACCAGCCGTTGGCAGATTCCTATCTTAGAATATTACATTTAGAGGAAGTCAGAAACATAAAACAAAAATAGCAGTTCCCATTTTAACCCAAAACATTATTTGGATCGTTTATTTAGATTATCTATACTCGGAGGCCCGAGTATAATTAACTCTAAGTTAAACTAAGCTACGCTTCCTCACATACACGCGCACACGTGTAAGCTAAAGTAGTGAGCCAAAGTAGGCCCACTACACTCTCAGCAAGTGGTTGCGAGGAGCACAAGCAAACCCGTGCGGGGTGCCCGTGAAGCATGTCCGTGTAGGGGGACCCAGCAACCAGCAGGGCAGCGAACGAACCCGTCGTTGCGGCTTGGAGCTAGTTGTGTAGTGTGGGGTGCGGGCCCCCAAGACCACCTGCGTCACTGCCAGGAGCTATCTGTAGGCTACAGGCTGTAGCTTCACAGAGTATTGGACATGGCGAGCTTTGCGTAGCACGTATCCATGCAGGCAAGTTGAAGTGCACTCTCTTTTAGCAATTCTACCCTTCCCAGCTCTAACTCACTCGTAGTAATGGATGCAAGCGCTGACTTGGCGCTCTAAATCAGAGTGAAGCCGAGGACTTGGTGGCGTTTTTTTTGCGCTCGGTGCGATCTAAAGTGTAGCAATTTATCTAAACCCGCGATTCGCTTCCCGAGGCCTGTTTGATTAGCGTTTATCGTCGAGGCTAAATCGTGTCCCCCCACTTTAATGGCATCGACTCCTTCTCAGAAGGGGTCACTCCAGGTATTACGCAGTTAAGCGTGTCTATGGATCAAGAGAGGGTTGTTCAACCGAGGTTTTTTGCGGAGTTTTTGGCCCCGGGGAAATGATTCTAGATGTAAACCCTAACCGTTCATGTCTCCGATTAAGAGAGGAAAGAGAGGAAAGAGGAGTGATATTGCGCGTTCTAGTCGAACTTTCCGAAGTCGATTGATTGAATCGACCGAGCCAAATCGCCAGCAAACCGCCCGAGATTTTGATTTGACTTGAGTTTACTATGTACGCAATAAAGTACGAAATAAGAAGTCGCTCAGGCCATCTCGATCGATTCCAAAAGACTTGAAATTTGTATTCAGCGATTTCAACCCATATGGTAAACCGACCCGAATCGGCAATATTGGCCAGAATTCACAATAGAGTAAAGAGGAGTGATATTGCGCGTTCTAGTCGAACTTTCCGAAGTCGATTGATTGAATCGACCGAGCCAAATCGCCAGCAAACCGCCCGAGATTTTGATTTGACTTGAGTTTACTATGTACGCAATAAAGTACGAAATAAGAAGTCGCTCAGGCCATCTCGATCGATTCCAAAAGACTTGAAATTTGTATTCAGCGATTTCAACCCATATGGTAAACCGACCCGAATCGGCAATATTGGCCAGAATTCACAATAGAGTAAAGAGGAGTGATATTGCGCGTTCTAGTCGAACTTTCCGAAGTCGATTGATTGAATCGACCGAGCCAAATCGCCAGCAAACCGCCCGAGATTTTGATTTGACTTGAGTTTACTATGTACGCAATAAAGTACGAAATAAGAAGTCGCTCAGGCCATCTCGATCGATTTCAAAAGACTTGAAATTTGTATTCAGCGATTTCAACCCATATGGTAAACCGACCCGAATCGGCAATATTGGCCAGAATTCACAATAGAGTAAAGAGGAGTGATATTGCGCGTTCTAGTCGAACTTTCCGAAGTCGATTGATTGAATCGACCGAGCCAAATCGCCAGCAAACCGCCCGAGATTTTGATTTGACTTGAGTTTACTATGTACGCAATAAAGTACGAAATAAGAAGTCGCTCAGGCCATCTCGGTCGATTTCAAAAGACTTGAAATTTGTATTCAGCGATTTCAACCCATATGGTAAACCGACCCGAATCGGCAATATTGGCCAGAATTCACAATAGAGTAAAGAGGAGTGATATTGCGCGTTCTAGTCGAACTTTCCGAAGTCGATTGATTGAATCGACCGAGCCAAATCGCCAGCAAACCGCCCGAGATTTTGATTTGACTTGAGTTTACTATGTACGCAATAAAGTACGAAATAAGAAGTCGCTCAGGCCATCTCGATCGATTCCAAAAGACTTGAAATTTGTATTCAGCGATTTCAACCCATATGGTAAACCGACCCGAATCGGCAATATTGGCCAGAATTCACAATAGAGTAAAGAGGAGTGATATTGCGCGTTCTAGTCGAACTTTCCGAAGTCGATTGATTGAATCGACCGAGCCAAATCGCCAGCAAACCGCCCGAGATTTTGATTTGACTTGAGTTTACTATGTACGCAATAAAGTACGAAATAAGAAGTCGCTCAGGCCATCTCGATCGATTCCAAAAGACTTGAAATTTGTATTCAGCGATTTCAACCCATATGGTAAACCGACCCGAATCGGCAATATTGGCCAGAATTCACAATAGAGTAAAGAGGAGTGATATTGCGCGTTCTAGTCGAACTTTCCGAAGTCGATTGATTGAATCGACCGAGCCAAATCGCCAGCAAACCGCCCGAGATTTTGATTTGACTTGAGTTTACTATGTACGCAATAAAGTACGAAATAAGAAGTCGCTCAGGCCATCTCGGTCGATTTCAAAAGACTTGAAATTTGTATTCAGCGATTTCAACCCATATGGTAAACCGACCCGAATCGGCAATATTGGCCAGAATTCACAATAGAGTAAAGAGGAGTGATATTGCGCGTTCTAGTCGAACTTTCCGAAGTCGATTGATTGAATCGACCGAGCCAAATCGCCAGCAAACCGCCCGAGATTTTGATTTGACTTGAGTTTACTATGTACGCAATAAAGTACGAAATAAGAAGTCGCTCAGGCCATCTCGGTCGATTTCAAAAGACTTGAAATTTGTATTCAGCGATTTCAACCCATATGGTAAACCGACCCGAATCGGCAATATTGGCCAGAATTCACAATAGAGTAAAGAGGAGTGATATTGCGCGTTCTAGTCGAACTTTCCGAAGTCGATTGATTGAATCGACCGAGCCAAATCGCCAGCAAACCGCCCGAGATTTTGATTTGACTTGAGTTTACTATGTACGCAATAAAGTACGAAATAAGAAGTCGCTCAGGCCATCTCGATCGATTCCAAAAGACTTGAAATTTGTATTCAGCGATTTCAACCCATATGGTAAACCGACCCGAATCGGCAATATTGGCCAGAATTCACAATAGAGTAAAGAGGAGTGATATTGCGCGTTCTAGTCGAACTTTCCGAAGTCGATTGATTGAATCGACCGAGCCAAATCGCCAGCAAACCGCCCGAGATTTTGATTTGACTTGAGTTTACTATGTACGCAATAAAGTACGAAATAAGAAGTCGCTCAGGCCATCTCGATCGATTCCAAAAGACTTGAAATTTGTATTCAGCGATTTCAACCCATATGGTAAACCGACCCGAATCGGCAATATTGGCCAGAATTCACAATAGAGTAAAGAGGAGTGATATTGCGCGTTCTAGTCGAACTTTCCGAAGTCGATTGATTGAATCGACCGAGCCAAATCGCCAGCAAACCGCCCGAGATTTTGATTTGACTTGAGTTTACTATGTACGCAATAAAGTACGAAATAAGAAGTCGCTCAGGCCATCTCGATCGATTCCAAAAGACTTGAAATTTGTATTCAGCGATTTCAACCCATATGGTAAACCGACCCGAATCGGCAATATTGGCCAGAATTCACAATAGAGTAAAGAGGAGTGATATTGCGCGTTCTAGTCGAACTTTCCGAAGTCGATTGATTGAATCGACCGAGCCAAATCGCCAGCAAACCGCCCGAGATTTTGATTTGACTTGAGTTTACTATGTACGCAATAAAGTACGAAATAAGAAGTCGCTCAGGCCATCTCGATCGATTTCAAAAGACTTGAAATTTGTATTCAGCGATTTCAACCCATATGGTAAACCGACCCGAATCGGCAATATTGGCCAGAATTCACAATAGAGTAAAGAGGAGTGATATTGCGCGTTCTAGTCGAACTTTCCGAAGTCGATTGATTGAATCGACCGAGCCAAATCGCCAGCAAACCGCCCGAGATTTGATT